GGGAGGGGCATTAGTGCATGTGCCAGGTGACCAATGGCAGGAGTGTGATGGTGGGGGGTGGGGGTAGGCTGTAAGTGAGAGGAGGTCACGTGATGAAATCTCCAGGAAGTAATGCAAACAGAGTCTGTGACCTCGGTGCTACTGTATATGGACAGTTTGCTGAGGTTTTGTGACAATTTTTGTTTTGGATTCACAGGCGAAACGTATCAACTTACACCCCCTCTACGTCATGCTGCCCTCCACCCTCTGTGCTTCATTCGCATTCATGCTGCCAGTGGCAACACCCCCAAACTCCATCGTCTTCTCCTATGGTTACCTGAAGGTGGCTGATATGGTAAGTGTTCGAAAGTGCTCACTGAAATTTCACATTCAGTTTGAAGGTGAGAAGTTTTGGTCAGAGACTAGTGTTTTAAACTTAAATAAAGGCAGTTATAAGGATATCAACATAGTGTCAGCTAAAGTGAATTGAAAAAAACGGGGTTAAAAAGTAAGTCAGATGAGAAGCAGTTGGAGATATTTAAGGAGACATTTCTAAACTCTCAGCAGAGGTATATTTCATAGAGATGGAAAGGCTCTAAAGGAAAGGTACAGCAACTATATTTACCTGAGGAAGTCTGGGATGGTATAAAATTGAAAGAAAAAGCATACAATACTGTCAAGATTAGAAGATAGGACAGATCTTTGAAACCAGCAAAGAATGACCAAAGAAAGACAGAGAAATGAGTATGAGAGAAAGTGAGCTAGAAATATTAAAACAGACAGCAAGAATCTCTACAAGTCTGTATACCTCAGGGCACTCTGCTTTCCTCCCACAGTCCAAAGATGTTCAGGCTAGGTTGGATTGGCCATGGGAAATTGCCCATAGTCTTCAGGGATGTGTACAGTAGATGGGTTATAGGGGAATGAGTCTGGATGGGATGCTCTGAGGGTTGGTGTGGACTTGTTGGGTTGAAGGGCCTGTTTCCACGCTGTAGAGATTCTATGATTCTACGACAAAGAAGAGTGCCTGAAATAATTGTTGGTGCTGTAAGAGGGTGAGACTGGAGATTAGTAACAGAAGTCAACAAATCCATGGAAGCGATGAATGAGTGTTCTATGTGTGTCTTCAAAGTAGAAGATTTAGAAAACTTTCCAAAGATAATTGAAAATCAAGGTGTGAAAGGGGAGGAACTTAAAGCAATCACCATATCCAGAGAAAAAGGTGCTGAGAAATCTATTTTAAAAAAAAGGTAGACAAGTCCATTGCTCCTTTTAACTTGCATCTTAGGGTCTTAAAAGAAGTGGTTGAAGAGAAAGTAGATGCATTGTTTGTACAACATTCCCACGAATCCAGAAAGATTCCAGTGCATTGCTATTGTAACATCTCTTCTCAAGAAAGGAAGGAGACAGAAAGCAAGGATATAGTAGCCAGTTAGCTGAGCGTCTGTCATTGGGAAAATGTTCAAATCCATTATTAAGGAGATAGTAGCTGGACATTTAGAAGATTATAATGGAATCAGGCAGCGTCTACATGGTTTTGTGAAAGGGAAATCCTGTTTGACTAATTTACTCAAGTTCTTTGAGAATTAATGTTCATGATGGATAAAGGGGAAGCTGAGGATGTGGTGTACTTCCAACACCTTGGTGTAGACGATAACCCATTAGCAGGGATAGAGGGTTGGGGAACTGACAGGAAGTAGAAAGTAGGCCATTTTCAGTTTGGCAAACTGTAATCAACAGCGAGCTACAAGGGTTAATTCTGGGTCCTGAACTATTATCAAACTATATCAATGACTTGGATGAAGGAACCAAATGTATGGTAACTAAATGTGCAGATGACATGGAGATAATGAGGTAACTATAGTGCCGGAAGGACAGAGAGATTCTCACGGGGAGATAGGGTCAGCGAATGGGCAAATTTTGCAGATGGAGTGTAACCTGGAGAAACGTGGACTTATCAATGTTGGTAGAAGGAATATGAAAGCAGCATTGCATTTAAATGGCAAGAGATTACAGATTGTGTACATTTCTGGTACCACACTACCAGAAGGATGTGGATACTTTGGAAAGGGTACAGAAAAGGTTTACCAGGATTTTGCCTGGTATGGGGGATTTTAACTTTGAAGAAAGATTGGATAGACTGAGGTTGAGGGGCGACCTGATAGAAGTTTATGAGATTGTGAATGGCATGGATAGAGTGGAAAGTATGAGGCTTTTTCCCAGGGTGGAGGGGTCAATGACAAGGGGACACAAGTTCAAGGTGCAAGGGGGACGTTTAAAGGAGACGTGCAAGCCATATTTTTCACAGAATTGCAGCATGCAAGAAGGACCTGGACAAATACATGAATGGGGAGGGAATAGAGGGATACGAATCCTGTAAGTGAAGACAGTTTTATTATGGAAGGGCAAAATGTGTCGATGTAGGCTTGGAGGGCCGAAGGGACTGTTCCTGTGCTGTATTGTTCTTTGTTCTTTATTGGGGTTCTTGCGGTCCCTGTCCTGGGAGTGTTTGATGGGGGACGGTGTAGAGGGAGCTT